TTTCATTTTTTATTTATTTCTTAATTTTTAAAATAGTTATTTAAGTATTTTATTATTTATTTATTTATTGCAGTGACACAGCAATGACAGTCTTCACTGCACCTCAGTAAATGTAGCCTACCTTGTAAAATATAACGTATCACTTCAGATGTGCAGTAATTCATCTTAATGGAATTGATTAAGTGTTTAAGTTTAATTCTGTGTGAAAGCAATAGGAAACACATAAACATTTACTAGGTCTTGTGCTTCTGATGCAGGTGAGCATTTTCAAAGAAACAAATTGTGGCAGTTGATCATCATCTCATCCCTTGCATCCCTTGATTAAACATTTCAACATTTTAACTTGGTGACTCTTGGAATGCTTGTGTAGTAATAAGTCATGTATAGCTGTGCTGTATCAATTTGTGTATTAAAATAGTTTCCCAATATACAGCTTTAATGCTGTAAATCAAACTGCATCCACAGTTTGCAGCCCAAAAGCTCCAACACTGGTTCAACATTACCATCTAGTGGCCATTATCTAACATGGCAACTAGTGTTTCTGCAGAGGTTAAACCTGAACCTCGTCAGTTGCAAGAGGTTATTTTACCTTTGCAACTGTTTGTGGGGGACTCATGCAGCAAAAGGTATACTGAGATGAACTTCACATGTTATGTAAAGGGAAAAAATTTGCCGATGCATTATTTACCAGTGGACAGTTAAAAGAGTTCATATGAGAACTGTAGGTCAGAGTTCAGCGGGGGATCAGCAGAATAAGTGGAGGTCAAAGTGCCTGTGAGGAGAATCCCTCCTTCAGCAGTCTAATCTTGTTAGGCTTGTCTGACTCTGTTTGGTTAAACATAATTGAGGAAGAGGACCAACAAATCAGAAACACAAACACAGAACGCATTAACCTCAACAAGTGTGAACAGATCTTTTTATTTACTTTAAATACTAAGATCTTTTTCTCTTTTTTTTCTTTTTATATTCATTAAATAAACATTACATTTTATTTTGTCATTAGACAAAGAGTTGGTTTTTAAATCAGCTTATAACCAAAGCACAGGTGAGATAATCACCTGCATCTTTACAGCTGATTAAAAATGACTTTGCTATCACAGTTATATCAAATTGTTTTATTTAAAAAGAAACATATTGTCGGAGCATTTTCAAGTTCCGATATGTAGAGTAATGGTATTATGCAAGTTTGTGAAAACTGTATTTCAAAGGCCCATCCAGGAATAATCATTGCAAACCAGCTCAGGCTGTAAGTGCTCTGGTACGTTACATTGGGTAACTGGTTCATACTATGTTCTTGTCCCTGTCAAAATTAACATAAAATAAAATTGTCTACACAGTTCATGTAAACCTACAGAGTGATGTGGAAATATGCATACGTTATAACATCATAAAATTGTAATTGATTGAATTGAACAGTCTTGTTTTATTTATTTCTTTGCAACTTCAAGACATGAATAGAACAACGCCTGATGCCTTTCATTTAATCCCCTTAACCTTCTCTAAACTTGGCCATGCCTGAGCTGCTAATTTTAGATCCAAAGGTTGGCCTTGTATCTATTTAAGACCACGGTCCACAGGTAGGTAGTCCTGCCTTCTGCTCCATTTCTGACAGGTTGTAATGTGCATAATATTCAGTGTAAAAAAAACATTTCACTTTCCACCCAAGGGACGAAGACTACAGTCAAATTTCTTGCACTATTTAATATTAATATTATTAGATATTTGATGTTTTTATTTAATGCATATTGTATAGAACAGTAAAAGCCACTGAAAAGTAAAGCATTAACACATACCACTATAATGAGCTCACCAAAATACAGTTTTTGCAGCTGGTTTGCACGGCTGGGATAAATCAGACAGGATATGCAAAGTGTTTTCCACTCATTTTGACTACATATGCTTTTTATGGCAAGTAAATATAGTATAAACTTAGTATCAGTAAATATCATGCTAAATAACAGTCTTTTAAGACAACATTCGCAAAAGAAACATTAGCAGGGAGGAAATGAGGACGTGGGTTTAAAGAGCAGTTTATATAAACAGGTCAGATTCGTGACCTCGACAGCACTGTCAATAATTGAATTATTGGTAGGAGTGGCCTTTCCAAAATATCCATGGGTCACTTCGAGTATTCCGTTTATTTATGCATCTGTATTTGCAGCCATGTTAACAGCTGCTTGAGGCTCCATTTTATTTGGAAGGAAGGTGGTTGGGGATCCGAAAATCTACTCGCACCCCGCTGCCTGTTTGTGCCGCACTTTGGGAAGGCAAGCCGAAGCACAGATAAAGCCTGACAGAGCCACATAACCAGATCAAAGAAAGGAATAGGAACCAGTTTCTGTAAGGTCACAGCACCAAAGAAAGTTACTAACTGTGCACTCAAAATAAAAAAGGAGCAGCAGACGGTTGCCACAGTATGATCCACTGTTTATTTACTAAAGGCAGTGCAGGTGGCCACATACCAGCATCAGCCTTACTCTGCGTGGAAATGTTGCCAAAGAAGAATAAATGATTTATGTGGGAAGATCAGACATATACAGTAAAGCATCATAAGAGGTGATGTGCATGTACATTTGCATCATATTCAAATACGCGTTACAGAGATCATTGCTAGTGGTGGGCCTCCTGTAGTGTGATAATCTCACTAACCTCTAATCACCTCTCAGGGATTTCACTGTGGATCACAGTTAATACAGTGCCCACTAACTACTAATGAGACATCAGCATGAAAGGAATCCCAAACTGTACATCTGGGATTATTACACACACCACAGATTTTTTTATTTTTTATTTTTTTGTTCCAGCTCATCCTGATTGGCGGTGCACAACGGTCTTGTGGTTAAACTGCTTTTCCAATGTGACTGCAGAGGCTGGAACACTTTATCAGCACCGCTGTACAGCAACTCATTTTTATTCCATTTGATTTGCTTGAAGGATTGTTTTGAAGGGTAAAAACATTTTCTGGGAGAACCATTTAACTCAACAGAATTACAGCGTTTTATCTTGAGCAGCTCCTCTGGAGGCCTCGCTCGAGGACGCTCTCGCTTTACCCATAGTCCAAGAAAAAATATATAGTTTTCTGTCCTTTCTCAGAAAATGCAAATTTGTCTCCAGGTTTATTGCCAACGGTTATCTAACAAAGCATGACGGGGTACATGACATGAGGCCTCATATGTTCGCTTCACTTTAAAGCTGAGTTTTTGACCCACAACATAAAAACAGCTCCAGCTCATTTGTGCAGGGTTTGGGGGCGTAGCTCCCTTTATCTAAAAAGAAAACAATATAAATTACAAAATGTTTAAACACCTCAGAAACACACATCAAAACCAGAATTACTTTAAATTATAGTGCAGTAGCATCTTGTGAGTATGCATTACTAGTAGCTAAGTTACTGTTGTCCATCTCTCAACAGGTTTGGATTCGGGACAATTCAGTAAAATTATGCAGCAAACAACAAGTAACCATCAGCTATCCCCAAAAAGCCGTTGGTTATTTCGGACACACAGAGGGATCCTCTCAATAAATACCTTCTATAGGATTTGTCTCCTTAGCCTATCTGCAGAGCCAACGCAATCTAATTAAAAGAGATTGATATAACAATTGCAAAGTAGCATGACTTGATCGTCTTAGTCACTTAGCTTCTTCTTTCTGAACAGAGAAACAACACTGAGACTGATTAAGGACAGCAGCTGACTGGGACACCGGCCATTTGGCAGATAAATTTATGGGCATGAATTAAGGCGTGTGACTGTAATAGAGCTCTAAAACTGCACCGCACCGCCCTGTGCTGCCTAAATGTGTTGATTGAACAAAGAGTTGAGTTGAGTTGAGTTGAGTTGAGTTGAGTTGAGTTGAGTTGAGTTGAGTTAACAGGATGAGCGTGGATAATTCTCTTGTTTTTATTTTCGTATCAGAATCATACCAGCTGCCGCAGCTGGCTTGTCAAGGCTCAGGTTGATGATCAGATTAAGTCAATATGACAATGCTAACATGCTAATGTTAAGCAAGCAAAAATGTTTTCCAATGTTCGCCCTCTCTGTTTAACATGTTAGCATGCTAAGATTTGATAATTAGCACAAAACACAGAGCATGAGGCTGATTAGTTATAGGCATTTCCTCACATAAACTAAAGTACTGAATACATTTTGACCTGATGATGGCTCCAGAAGTTCAAGTTATTAAGATTCGTCATCTGGGCACCATGGATGTCTGCATAAAATCTGATCTAAATGAGAATGACATCTCATAACGTCTCATGTCCTGGAGATGGTTAATGACGTATTTCAAGATGGCATGAATAACTTTTAAAATTGAGTTAAATGTTTTTTCTCTTTAGTTATGGATTAAATCTCTTGTGTAGGCTGCTGCCTGTCCACACTCATGATTTAGATGAAGATCAGATCATATTTTATGACCAATCGATGCATAAAACCAGGTCATTCTATAGGGTTCACGTTGCTTTTCTTGCCACTGTAAATGGCAGACATTCAAGTTTAGCAACAAGTAATACGTCAGCCAGCTAAAGCTAAGCAATGCCGTTATACTGGAAGCAAGTAAAATTTCTGTTGACATACATGATTCAGTCTCTGGCCAAACTGGGCTCACCTAGTCTCACACATGTATTGCCTTAATTTCCTTAATATTCATTGATTTTTTTGATTTTTTTTTTTTTATCAGCAGAGGCAATATATTCTTTCCCACACTACTGGAACACACACACCTGCAATAACGCCTGCCACTCTAATGTGTTTGGCCTAGACCCACATTTAGCTGCAAATCTAATTAACACAGAGAGAGGAAACCCCAACAGCGTATAATACCATTGTAATCCCGAGGCCCCACTAATCACTGTCTCACACGCAAACTTCAGCTTTGGGATTCCACAGCGTTATAAAAATACACCTCAGAGTATGAGATGCCCATTTCAAGCCCGGCCTCTCCGTGGCAGAGTACATACTCAAAGGCTACAGGACTATGGGCTGTTGAATCACGAGCCGGCCATGGGGCAGACCCAGCACACGGAGAACAGCGAGGAGATTGACGTCAAAGCTCTTCAGGACATGTACAAAAAGTTTGTCACGGAGTGTCCGAGTGGAGTACTTTTCCTGCACGAGTTCAAGCGTTTCTTTGGTGTGGACCCGACGGGAGAAGCGTCTGACTATGCGGAAAACATGTTTCGAGCTTTTGACAGAAATGGGGTGAGAGAGTAAGAAGCTTTAAGGGCCTGGCTCTGCTGTACATCGTTACCAAAATGTTAAAAAATTAACCCAGTTGTTCTCATTCAACCTGTTTTTCCAGGACAATACGATTGATTTCCTTGAGTTTGTGGCAGCACTCAATCTTGTTTTCCGGGGAGACCTGGAGCATAAACTGCGCTGGTCATTCAAGGTGTATGACAAAGACAGCAATGGTTATGTGGACAGGGACGAGCTACGGTCAATAATTGATGTAAGTCTATCTAGAAGTCATCTAAAAAAATATCTGGGGGGGTTTTTGGATTCAGCACAGGTTGGAAAAACCAGATTCCATTATAGTAAGCTCTCCTTTTACAGAATGATGTTTAGTACCACCTCCAAACTTAAGCACCAAGTGACAGCAGCTCAGTGTTTGATATTTGCAACATCTTCAATAGGACATGTTTTTTCCTTCTACCGTTCAGAACAGGCTGTGGACTTTGCCATGTCTTCTCCCGCTTGTTCTCCCATATTCGCTGTCCCCCTCTAACAAGCCAGAGCTGCTTCACTTCTTCAAGATGAGCGCAAAAAAAAAAACTTTGTTGGTTTTCAACCTCGAATAAATGCATCTCTATAATAAAATAATTCTGTATAGGTACAAATATTCCCTCTGGACAAGTCTTTAACCATGTGAACCACACATTGATTTATAGGTACACAAATCACTGAGGACAACTTCTGTTTCAGTGGATGGAGATAACATAGAATCTTTTCACTGATCAGATAATCTCATTGAGTCACTGTAGCTACATCATTACATCACCTCTCTAGGAGCTAGTTACAGGTCTGACATTGAATGTGAAAATGATGATGGAGCAGCAGTCTCAGGGTCAAGTCTGAACCAAAATATTTTGTGACTTTGTTCCTCTGCTGGATTCCAAAATCTTCACTTCAGTGCCAGTCAGTTTTCATTGAAATAAAAACAAAGTATTAAATATGTGCATAACGAATGAGGAACCATATCTATTTTCCAGACGATGGGTAACCCTTGTGTATCTTAACTATTAACATATGAATCTGCATCTTCGTTTAAAGCAAAACACAATGCAAAGCTGGAAATTTGCAAACAGTTTTTGTTAATAATTTTTGAAATCATACAAACAAGACAAGATACACCAAACAATATATAATATATTAATAAAAGAGTGCTTGAAAGAGATCAATAGATGTATAACCAAAGTAAACATGATGCTCATTTATCCAATTACATCACTGCTCAAAACACATTTTAATATTGGTCAGTCATGGAGCGTATCGTGCATCATCACTAAGTGCAGCATCTTATGATGAAATGTGTTTGATCACGACATACAACATTTCTCTTTCTTTCTTGTTTCTGTCTAGAGCATCTATCGGATAAAGAAAGGCACAAAGACAGACATGAGCGATTCACAGCTGACGGTAGACGAGGTTGTGGATCGACTGTTACAGGCCGTCGACAGTGATGGAGATGGTAAACATTCAGTCTCATGTCACCGTTACAACACAGTGAAAGTGCTTTAGAAGCAACAATAGACAGATTGAATATTTTCTTTTTTTTTTGTTCCACAGGTCACATTAACATGGAAGAGTTCATTAGAGGCGCGCAGCAGGACCCCTGGGTGCTCAACATGTTGAAGTTGGACATGAACCCTGCAGGATGGGTGCTGGAGCAGAGGAGAAAGAGCGCGCATTTCTGAAATGGCAACGCACAGAGGCCTTTTCGATGTGGACGAAGGGACAATACTCCAGGCTAATTCTGTAGACGCATTATTGTTCTCTATTTTCACATTTAAAACTATAATAATGGTTAAGAATCATTTTATTGTCTTTAAATACTTATTTTAAGCAAGTGCATATATACATTTATACATATATACTTACATACATGCTTGCTAACTGAAGTTACAGCCTTCCGAGCTCATAAAGTGTCAATATGTAAATAGAGATTATGTCTGCTTTTCTATTGTTATGTGTGTATTTTTTACTGTTTCTAATTTTTTGCAAATGACAACATTACGGGGATGTAATATTATAGTGGTAATATTACGTTTTTAACACCTATAAATACAAGTTAAATAAAAAAAAAAAAAAGAAGCAAACATCAGTCCTCTTTTTCCACTGAATTAAACCTGAAATGCATGTTGAGCTCTACTAGAAGTGTTTCATCATCATGTGCTTATCTCGAACCACACGATGCACAGACGCCACCTACTGATCCACTTTGGTATGGCTGCCTTTTCACAGTCAGTAAAATCCTGGGGCTTTATGGGAGTGACTAACGGATTCTAGCTTCACCAGTTTACCTGTCCAGGTTTACTTGTTACCCCGAGTGTCACCATGTCAGTTATACAGTAGATTCTGTTGTGAGACTCACTGACTACATCTAAAGGCAAACTGCAGTCCTGCTATCAAGCCACACCTTGTGTCAAAATTGAAGATGAAAAAAAAGGCGGTCAATACCAATACTTTCTAATACAATCTGATTTGTGGTGTCATTTCCTTCTATGAGTCAGGTACTGATAAAATAATTTAAAAAAAAAGGGGTTTCTCCCATTTTGACTGAGGAAAACACAGTGAAAACAAATTAGTTGTAAACATAATTTCCAGGAGACAGGGTTGCAACAACTAATTCCATAGGTGTTCAAAATGTCTTCACAAAAGACATTTTGACAAATCACAGAAGGAAAAGCACAGGTTCAAATGATAAATAATTCCACTCAGCTGTATTCAATTCAACAGACAGAAAGAAGATGCAAACAAAGAGGTCACTAGAGGCACTAAAGAATGTAATTACTGTACAAGACCTGACAATAGGGAAGATAATTCATGGTTCATGGTTTAGATGCACAAATGAATTAAATCAATAGTCATTAGACTTGTAACCCAACAGCTTTAGCAGCTACAGTTTACTGCAGTCTGCAGTCACTATTATGATCTCTCCTTACCTCTGCCCAGGAGGTTATGTTTACGTTCGTGTGTGTTTGATTGTAAACAGGATTACGCAAAAAGTACTAAACCAATTTGCAACTTGGTGGTGGAAGGGGGCGTGGGCCAGGGAAGAACACATTCAATTTTTGGCGCAGATCCAAATAATTAACTGATGTACTGGTGACCCTGGGTCACAAAAGGTTCAAGACGGGATCATGATTGAGGATTACTGCTTAAAACTCATCTTACTGAAGCCTTGGACTAAAGATAAGCCTCTTGTTAGGGTCAAGGATCACATGAATCACTTATTACACTCAGTTGTAGACCCCTGAGCTGCAGAGGAGACCTTCGACAGCCGCCATGAAGTGGACACTCAACTATTCATTGCAGGCAGTCTTCAGGATATTACTCTACTAAAACATCTGCATTTATTTCTCAACAAAATAAGAAATTCATCGTTTTTACTGCAGTGGTAGAATCTGGATAGAGCATGGGTCAGAATCAGCAAAAACAGATACAGGAAGAAGAACTGGAGTTAAACAGCATCCAGGACCTCTACAAGTCATTCATCAAGGAGTGCCCGAGCGGATCTTTGTACCTGCACGAGTTCAAGAGGATGTTTGGAGTACAGAACGGCACGCCTGAATCACAATACATGGACAGCATCTTCCGAGCATTTGACATGAATCATGTGAGTTACAAAGCTGACTTTGAAGTAAAAATGTGATATCTGATTTATGTTCTTGAAAATATATTTTTATCTATCTGCACAAATCTGCATTTTTTTCAACAGTAATGTTTCCACGTTTTTCAGGACAACACAATGGATTTTATAGAATATGTGGCCGCACTTCATCTTGTTCTGCGTGGGAAACTTGAGGATAAGCTGCGGTGGTCTTTCAAGGTGTTTGACAACGATGACAGTGGTCGTCTGGACAGACATGAACTACTGAAGATTGTAAAAGTAAGTCTTGAAATCATACGATGACAAGTGTTTGCTTTGAGGTATAGCATCAGATTTCATGTGTTTTTCAAAAGACAATCTTCATCGCTCTTTATCATTATATCTTTAGGATTTTATTAACTGTATATGCATCAAATCCAGCAGTAATATAATGTTCTGTTCATTGATGTTTTTAATGAAGGCACTAGATGAAAAATTGAGGGATTATCAAAGTGGCTACAATTCATCCTCTTGGGACCATGAATGGCTGAACAAATTTGTTTGGTAATCCGTCCAGTATATGTTGAGAGTTCAATCTGGACCAAAGTGGTGAACCAAATGACGGACCATCAGTCCAACATTGCCATCCCCATGCAGAACCATGCCGCTAGCATGGTCAAAACATCACAAGTCCTCAACAGCATGATCAGTATGATAACCAGTCTAATTCCTGAATTTATCTTTCAGATAATCTACAAAATAAAGAAAGGCTCTGTGTCTGACGAAGCGGGAAAACAAAGCCTTACTCCTGCGGAGGTGTGTGATCGCATCTTTCAAGAGGTTGACGACAACAGTGACGGTAAGTTGACTGCATAGTTAAAACCGAAACATTCTCAAAAAAGCAAAACCCCCCTCCAAAAATAGCTTTCCGCAGTATTTAGCCATAAATAATTCAGTCAAAGCTATCCACTGTTTGTGCTGCAGGTCAGATTACACTGGATGAGTTTGTGCAGGGGGCTCAGAGGAGTCCTTGGCTACAGAGCTTCCTGCGTCTTGATGTCAATCCCTCTGGATGGGTCCAGAGGTATTTGTGCGACAGGAAACTCATGAGTAGCAAAAGTTCCTGAAGTACATTCAGACCAACCTGCCAAATGGAAAAAACCCTGATTGACACCTCGGCCAGCAGCGTGTCAGAAGACTCCGCTTGCCTTCATCATGGTACAGTGTAAAACCTGCAATATGGTGACTGAGATAAAAAAAATACCGGACGCACCGAGCATTTTCACACCTTGAGGAAAACAAGCTTTTCTTCAGATATGTGATTTTAGAAGAAATGAAACATTATATTAAGAGAATGTGATTTAATCTGTGGCCTCATATTACTCTGACATGTTTGTTCATCAATTATTTTATGAATCATTATTAAATATATGTTCATTTTTTTTAAATGAACATTGAACGGAAGTGGCTGTTAGTAGCATACAGTGTGGTGTGGTCTTTTTCTAAGGCTACAATGGAGAGAAAGTGCTCTCATGTTTTACTCATATGTTGCATACAGAAACATAACCAATAAACAGGAACAGCAGGGGCACTTCAGCAATTTAGTATTTCACTTCTATTAAGCATGAAGAGAGATTTCAGAGAAAATCAATACTGCTAGAGGACTGAAACATTCTGAATTTGAGTCCCTGGGATTAGACAATCATAAAAAAGACACTTGATCCCACACTCCCCATAATGAAACTCCATAGAGTCCTTTGTTAGACCCTCCCTGACTGGTAAACAGCCATGTCTTTAAACTCTCCACCTCTTTTTGTAATGCAAAGTTTATTTTCAAGTGTTAACCCGTGACTAGTCAGTCTGATGTGTAAAAGTGACGCAGTGCCCCTTTAAATTGTCCAGAGATCAAGCTAGTGATGTCAACATAAAGTATATGTGAGTACTGAACAACATAAATCATGGGTATGTTAGTCTATGACCCTAACCTTCTTAAATACTTTGATTAAACTTTGCCTTTCTCAGCACGACTGTGTGACGTTGTAATGAATTATGATTGATTGTAATTTACTAGTTTTCAGTCTTAAAACTGACAAATGTCTGTCTATTGTTGATGTGTATCTGTAACGGCACACTGCAATGTTTGCTTTAACTACATGTACGTGGTAGCACATGATTAAATTTACTGAAACCACAACACAACAGATTTTGACGATGACTAATTTTCACTACTGTCACATAAAAGACACAAAGATTGTCTGATGTGACTATTTTGAATTTACATGACACAGGTGGGGAATGAATTTGGCTTCAACAGCATCACTAATCTTGACACCTATTTTTGTCACACTATGCTGGAGGAGAGTTCACAGATTTAATATTTACGTAGATGACAAATCTACATTTAAATCCAGACCATAATAATATGTGCTGCTCTAACTGAGCAGACGTGGATCCACAACAAGTAAATGTCTTCACGACTCTAAACTAATTATTAGGCCGGAAGAAGAACATTTACTCTGATGATATTAAATTTCTTTGAAGAACAGCATCATAGGAAAAACAACATGGACATGTACTGTAATATTATCAGACAGTATTTTATTTGATCTACTCCGGATCACTCTGTTCTTCTTCTTTCACTCTCTCAGCTCCACTCACCTTTCCCTGGAAATGTCCTGCTGACTGCTTCTGCTGCTCTGCTCATATTCATCAAGTCAAGTCCAGTGTCATCCTAGAAAAACATGTGAAAAATCACATTGCTATCATGGAATTACATTTTCATTTTCAAGTTTACATGATTATCTAAATAGTCCCCAATAGGCTTCTATAATGACTTTAATATTTATAATTTTAGCCTGTTATTTCTCCAGATGCTTTGAGGAATGAACGCTATATCATAATCATGGATTGTGCATTTAAAGGAGAATCTAACCCTTTTTAAGAATTCACATTTGTTATTCCTGTGCCCCAGAACAAACTGGTGAATATATGTGAACATGCAGCACTCTATAACAATGAATGGGGCTCTGATGCTGCAAGGCCATAAAATATTTGAGTAATTTCTTACACTAAAATGAGTGTTTCAAATTTTAAGCTTTATATCCAATTCAAAATCTGGATGAGACCTGTGAGGGGGTGCTCTACACAGCTACTGTAGATTATTGGGTTCGTGAGCAATTAGGGAATTTAGTGGCTCGAGGTAATTTCAGCTGTATAACTTCAGCAGCCTGACTCAATTAGAAAGAGTAATGCAATTCCTGCATTCCACATTTTCATTTGTCACTTCTGACGTTTAATCGATATTTTACTGGAAATCGCATCTGTTGATTCTTCACAAAGTCAGTGCCCCTCATGTTGATCTATGGATTCTCTCTGACGTCTCGCTTTAGGACAGATAATTCAGATTTAACTGTCTTTGGGCCCAGGAGTAACACGTGACATTTAAGCCTTTCATTTAATCAAAATTGCTTTCAAATTAATGAACTGTAGGTTTATGTGATTATTATTTATTAGTAACATGAAGTTCATGCACAGCTGCTGCTGGACTTATACTTGCAGTTTACCTTCACTTACTACCTCAGTTTATTGATTTTTGCAGCTGTGGACTTCATGCTGGTTTACTCTGTGTCCATAAGGACGTGAGTACTTGTGTTGTGTAAATGTGTCTTTTAATAAAACTCCATGCTGCATCTAAAGGAAGGGCCGGCATGCGGAAAATAGCAGGAAATTAACAAACGCAGTTCAGGCCCACCGCCGGAACAGTAGGCCTAATGGCTGCCCGCCACGTTCGGCGTGCTTCAGGCCTGGTTGTGGAACCGCCAACCCGGTCCACCTGGTTTTCGGAGTCCAACAACCCACAACCAGGTTTGAAGCACGCCACACTTGCCGGTTAATTTCCTGCAATTTCCCCTATGCCAGCCCTTCCCTTAGATGCAGGATGGAATCAGATAACATAACATGAAGTGCGAGTCTTTGCCAGAATAATTTGGACAACAGCATAAGAAAAGTAAACTGGGGAACAAACAAACGCAGAAACTTTTCGTACCTGTGGCAGTTTTAGAAATCGGACGAACAGGAAACGGGGCGTGCTGGGGAAAAACCAGAGGTGCGCACATCTGTCTGCTTAGATTAACTGCGCACATACGGGCATTTCGGCCGAAACGCGCCAACTTTTCTTTAAAAACTGAAGACAAAATGCAGGAAGGTCGCAGTTGGTCCGTGCCTGGCCCTGAAAACAGTCCGCCGTCCAAACACTCAGAAACTTCCACCTTATATGCAAGAAGAAATCAACTGCCCGGTACCGGAGGTAAGTCCGACAACGTCCGAAGCTTTGAATTTACTTTCTCAGCAAAGCGGTTCGAGAAAATGTTCATTTCTTGATGCTTCATGTGAACAGTGCGACATTTACTGGCCTGAATGTAAAATAGGAAAACACAAACGTTTGCATATCACAAACAGAATATCGGTAAAAGGGAAACCATGAGTGTAGTTTGTATTCTAACCATACATTTATAATAATTACTGTAAAAGTAGGCAGTTATTTTTGTGCCTCATTTCTGAGTCCTAACTTTTTGTGCACAGGCAAAATACATTTTGCAAACACACAAATTATATTTTGAAGAAAAAATATTTTTGAGCAAATAATATCATACCCTGAGCAAACTAAAATCCTAGACGCCATGTAAACTGGTAAAACGGATCTGTCACATTTCATCTCCGGGTTGGTGCTCCTATAAAAGTGTCGGAGCCTCCTATCGGTTAATATGTGTTTTACAGCGGGTCTGGGCCGGACAGGTGACAGGTGTGTTTACAGTGTCTGTGCTCTGAAAGACGTCACAGCAGGAAATGGGTGAAATGGGGGAAAACGCAACACCGCTCGGGTGTTGCGTTTACATCAAAGCCGATCGGAGCCGGACCGCCATTACTGCAGAGTCGTTTGACCCGGATGTGAATGCCGATTGCGTCCTTTACCATCGCAGACAAAAGCCCGATTGCAAAGAGATTTATCTTTGTTAAAAAATGGTGTGATTTAGAATATGCTAAACTTGCGCAGCATTGATGGTTGAATTTCACGATTTCAATATAAGATTACAAAATAACAAAATGTCAAAAAAACATTACAGAGAACTTGATAAATGCAAAGAATGTCATCGATTTCTAGTCTTCTTTCCTAACAGGTGCTACCCAACAGGGAGTTTCTCTAGTATGAGGTGTAATTCAGGCAGAGTTCATGTTGTTTCAGCTGCTTTTACACCTCTGTGTGTTTATTAAATATTGAGAAAACATTTGAAACCTTTCTTTCTCTCTCTGCATCCAGGACATATGGAGTACAAGGAGGTGCCACCTCAGCTGCATTCAGGACCCACCAGGTGTGCAGCTGTACACGGCCTGCCGGTTTCCACCATAAATAGGTCATTCCAGGTATATGGGTGTGTCTCATGTGTGCATATGTTGTGTATTATCATTTCATGCAAACATTAAAATCTTTATGGTCGAAAACCTTTTTTCCTCAAGCCAGTGCCAAGTACTCCCAAGCTCCTGGCAACACCTGCCACACAGAGCAGGACAAATGGTGAGTTGTTTACCCTCCCAGATACCAGGAGAGGCAGCTTAGGGTATACAGCTCGCTGGCTGGGTGCATGGACATTTCTTATGTTACATGTACCTTACACTATAAGCAAGAAATAAATTTTCCGTCCTTTGAAAAAATACTATGTGACATCTTTTCCCAGAATAATCACTTATTCATCATTGTCACTTATTGAATTGTTAACTGTCACCCATTCCGCTCCCTTTATCACATGTAGAGGTAACACTCATTTGAAGCAGATAAGCAATTTATTTTTTCTTTTTCGCCCTGACAATGACGTGACAAGCCACATCACAATCTTGATGTAATTGAAAGTGACTGTGCAGCAGGTCAGCCAGAGGTGACTTGTCACTCCCCACTCAGCCTTGCTGCTCAGCACAGTTGAGGAGCTGTGGTGGGAAACCCACTATTGCCAAACAGCTCAGATAATAGTTTCAGCACACAGGCTGCAAAATGAAGTTGAAAGCAGAATAATCAGTAAGAAAAGGTTGAGTAGGCTCATACTAGAGCAATTATTGGGTTGTGTGTGCATGGAAT